TGAGGTCAGACGGCCGCTTTCTGACAGCGCCCGAGATGACCAAGATGTATCTGCTTCCCGCTTCCAACAACTAATGATAACATCAAACCCTGTACAGAGGGACAGGCGTGATTTACTAAAGACTAACACCAGAGTAATGTCTCTAATTCTCCCGGGAACTTCTGGACCGTACAGAGGAGGGGAGGAAACAAGCTTTGCCACTAATTAGTTTGCCTCTCTCGCTCTCTCTTAGTTCCAGCTCATTTCCTTTCTCTGCTTACAGTATAATGCAAACACACCCTCGGAGATTAATTCATTTCAGGAGTAAAGACAGAAGAAACAAGACACCCCAGAACTTTCTTTCACAATGAAGATATCCATCTTTGTACTGTGATTGTGAAAAATACGTTTTTTTTTAGTAGCTGATGATGTTTGAATCAAAGCATGAGTCAAAAAACAAACAACCATTAAATATTAATGCATACTATTACTTTATTTGAAAGCATGGGTGATAATGCAGGTGTCTTTATAGCACTCAACCTTCTTGTGATGTTTATTCACCATCATTCCAGGGGTGTTTTTAACTTTTCATCAGTACTAGGGCTCGTGCCCCATACAAAGGCTCTAGCGATGCCCCTGTTTAATTTTTGGGAAGTGATTGGTCACTAGCAAAAATGCAGAAGAGCATCTCTGAACGCTGAACTCTGAACTGAGGCTGCAGTTCGCACATGCTCACCGAAATTGGATGATAGAAGATTGGAAAAAGGTTGCCTGGTCTGATGAGTCTCGATTTCTGCTGCGACATTCGGATGGTAGGGTCAGAATTTGGCCTAAACAAAATGAAAGCATGGATCCGTCATGCCTTACATCAGTGGTTCAGGCTGCTGCTGGTGGTTTAATGGTGTGGAGGATATTTTCTTGCCACACTTTGGGCCTCATAGTACTGAGTATCGTTTAAACACCACAGCCTACCTGAGTATTGTTGCTGACCATGTTCATACTTTTATGACCACAGTGTACCCATCTAGTGATGGCTGCTTCCAGCAGGATAACTAGTTTCTTGAATATGACAATGAGTTCACTCTACTCAAATGGCCTACACAGTCACCAGATCTCAATCCAATAGGGAACCTTTAGGATGTGGTGGAACGGGAGATTTGCTTCATGGATGCGCAGCTGACAAATCTGCAGCAACTGCATGATGCTATCATGTCAAAATGGACCAAAATCTCTGAGAAATGTTTCCAGTACTTTGTGGAATTTATGCCAAAAAGGCAGTTCTGAAGGGAAAAGGGGGTATGATGTTTGTATTATAGTTCAGTGTTTCTAAAATGTTTCAAATCGACACGTTCCCTCCAACGTCAGAACTCTGCAACTTGTGTATCAGCTACAGAGTTTCCCACTTATAAATACGACTTTGCGCGGTCATTTATGTGCTAAGAATTCATTTTTACACTATTTCTGACTCCACTTGAAGGCTATATACTCCATGAGCCCTGGACAGATCTGCTCTTAATGCCCTGCAGATAGATGAGGGCTGAGGAGAGAGAAGGCTTCCAGAGTTATGAGTGAGAATACATATGAAGCAGTGGCGAAGCTGGGCATGGACCCACCTACTTCAACTGTGGCCCACCCAGTGAGAAATTGGTCATTTTCCAAATGGATGTAATTTACCAAAAAGGCAGTTCTGAAGGGAAAAGGGGGTATGATGTTTGTATTGTAGTTCAGTGTTTCTAACATGTTTCAAATCGACACGTTCCCTCCAACGTCAGAACTCTGCAACTTGTTTATCAGCTACAGAGTTTCCCACTTATAAATACGACTTTGCGCGGTCATTTATGTGCTAAGAATTCATTTTTACACTATTTCTGACTCCACTTGAAGGCTATATACTCCATGAGCCCTGGACAGATCTGCTCTTAATGCCCTGCAGATAGATGAGGGCTGAGGAGAGAGAAGGCTTCCAGAGTTATGAGTGAGAATACATATGAAGCAGTGGCGAAGCTGGGCATGGACCCACCTACTTCAACTGTGGCCCACCCAGTGAGAAATTGGTCATTTTCCAAATGGATGTAATTTATTAAACAATAATAATAATACATGTCTTATTATACTATATATATTTAGTTTTAAAAAATGTAACGTAAGTTTTCATTGTCAATTACAGGAAGTTTCTTAATTTTCCCTCTTCCTATATATGCATACCATATGCTTGTCAAAATGATGTAAAATGCACACGTTTGTAAAGTTTAATTTGAAAATAGTGTAACAAATATCAATCAGTCTTTAGAAAGTATATATTGGATATCCCAATTGAAACTAAGTTTTAGCAGTGAATTCGGACAGTCTACAAATGAAACCAGACCACCTGCGGTGATGGATTTATAGATTGGAAATATCTGAGCCAAGCGTGTTTGAAACATCATATTAGCAAAGGTACAATGTTTTATCAGCTATACACGTTCTTTGTGGAAAGATTGTTGTGCTAGATACTGTTCTCAACAACAAAATGCACATTTTCAGCTGCGCACATTTCTAGGTCCCTGATGTTTACTCTTTTGAACACGAACTGACAGGGACACTTAAAGGGATAGTTCACCCAAAAATGAAAATTACTCCATAATTTACTCACCCTCAAGCCATCCTAGGTGTATATGACTTTCTTCTTTCAGACGAATACAATCGGAGTTATATTAAAAAAATGTCCTGACTCTTCAAAGCTTTATAATGGCAGTGAATGGGTGTTGAGATTTTGAAGCCCAAAAAAGTGCATCTATCCATCATACAAAGTGCTCCACACAGCTCCGGGGGGTTAATAAAGGCCTTCTGATCCGAAGCGATGCGCTTATGTAAGAAAAGTATCCATATTTAAACTTTATAAACCGTAATCTCTAGCTTATGCTAACTGTCGTACACGTGTTCATGAGAGAGTGGCGTTCCAGCGGATGACGTAAGTGTAGCCTAAGCTCTGATGAGAAGTGATCAACGCGGAAGCGCAGAGGAGAGAGCAAAACAAAACACCGGTCACAAATTAGAAGTACAAAACGAGGATCTGTAAAGGAAAATGTCGGGGGATTTCGATATAAGCCAAGAGGACACTGGTTTTACTTTGCTGTAAACAAAACTTGGTTCTCGCGAGACTAGCATATTCTCACCAGAGTTTACGCTATGCCTACGTCATCCGCTGGACGCCACTCTCTCGTGAACGTGTGCATGACAGTTAGCGGAAGCTAGAGATTACAGTATGAAGTGAAGTGACATCAGTCAGTGAAAATAATCCATATTTCTCGTCCTAAGAGGATCAGGTGTTTGGAGGAAAGCAGTTAAAAAAAAAAAAGGTATTTGTGATAGCAGAAAAGGAACGTTTCATGAGCAAGTTATAACATTTTGATGAAAGATCACTAAAACTTTTTTTTATTTTATTTGGAATAACGTGAACTGATGAATCTTGTACAATAAGGGATGTGTTAAAGTAAATATAGTCAATTGTGCACTGATGTTGAATTCAGTAAGCAGACCCCAGCAGAGACACACTGCAACAATATATGGATATTAGATGTTTTTTTAATAAAATCACTCACCAGAGAATTGTGCTGTGAAGGAAAAGCATCGTGAAAATCTTCCCTCTTCGTTCAGCTGAGGCAGGCTGAAGCTTGTGATAGAGCAGGTTCATATGAGGTGCTACAGCAGCCCCGCAGACTAATACAAATCTAGTCAAGATGGGTAAACTGTGCCACTTTTTACATTCACATTGCAAACAAGGTTATAGTGAAATATGAAATATTGCTTCTTTGAGCCTGCGGAAGCTTGTTTGTCTTGTTTTTTCCCCCTACATTTGTAAGAAAAAAAATGGTGAATGGTGGCCTTGTGTTTGCAAGTGCTCGCTCTGATTTTTAGAAACAAATTTGGCCCTGACACCCCTGCCCTCGAGCTTTTTCAATTCACCAGTCTAATAGTATTTCCTGCCTGTTCCCAGGCAAAGTGCACTGGTACTATTAGTAGAGCCACTGACATTTACCCTACAGCGCAGCGGCCAATTTAAGAAAAAAATGCTTCATTTAATAATTCATGGCTAATATTCTTGACATTAAAACAAATTTACCTGACATGCAGAAATATACTTTGACAAGCATAAGCTGGGTTTAGTACAAAACATTTTATTTGAAGTTGTGCAAAATAACATACTGTATTAAGAGTCCAAGGGTTAAAATTAGATTTTATGTTGACTAACAAGGCATACTTCAACCAATTTACTCCTTTGTTTATTCAATTTCACTGTTGTGTGGTTAATTGCCATTTGCTTTCCAGATCCTCATATTTCAAAAAGAAATTTTCTGAATTGTTTCATAGTGTGCTCAAACACAAATGTTGTTGCTCAAACCTATAGTTATTTAAGGATCTTGGAATATAACACACAGGTCTCTTACTACTTTTACAATCATTTTAGGTTGGTTTTTGTCATTTTGGAGCAATATCTTCTTTTGTGTTCCAAAGAAAGAAAGAAATGGTTTGGAACGACAATGGAAAATGAACCTTAAAACTATTCCATTATAACTTTCTCCCCTTAGTGTAACAAGACAATATGAGACAAAAAGCACAAGAAAACACTCATTATAAAAACTTTATTTTTAATAAAACATATGGAACCTCATTACATGTAGTGTGTTCGGTCTTATCGATCTATCTCGGGTCAGAACAGCACAGCGTTGGTGACGGTGACTTCACTAGAATCAACTTCAGAACAATGTTTCGCAGGTGTTCCAGTAATGTTCAAATCTAACACTTCACTGAAGGTAGCACACCACAAATACACCACGTAGAAAAATCAAAGGACTGCCGGGAAAACAAGGGAAAAACACAATGTAGTCATCGGGGCAGCTTACTTGCGTAGCAAGTGCAACATTATGGAACGACCTTTCCTTAGTTTTGTTTTGGGAAGTGGAGAGTGAAATCAATCGACAGTCACACCAATGAATGACTGATCATGTCTGAGGTAGCAAGGCAATCATGGCTTTCTCTAATTAAACATTTATTTATAAAACTATACTACACAAAGATAAATCATCTTGGGCCAAACGTCCTAAAAATCCCCATTTCCTACATTTGTCTTTTTATAATATAATCTATCTACATAATTTTGAGAAATACGGCATCTCTCAGCCACTCGTCTCTCCTGGAATGGATGCTTTATAGGCACAAAAGGGTGTTTTCGACGCGTTCGAATGTTTGTGTTGTACATCATCTGTGCGTGCGCTCTAGAAATGCAGTGAGGGTTCAGATGCGCTTCTACCCGCGGAACAAACTGTCGAAACAATGCTTTAAAGGGAGAGTTCACGGCAAACACTGTCAAAACAGGCTAAAGTTGAAGAGAATAATGCTGGGGGGCAACATGCGCTAACAGTTTAGCATTACGAGATCGATTCGTCTTCATATCCACTGATGTTCACATCGTTTTCTGATTAAACTAATAACCACGTCTGTAGAAAGACAATGTGTCAGTTTGAACAGCAACTGATATGAGCTGAATGTGAGATATGTGGTAGCAGTGTGGTTCCTTGGTGAACGCAGAAATAAAAGCATACAGGTTATACGATAAATGGCCCCCATAACCCTAAATAATCATCCGAGTATTAAAACAATGGGCAGATACACCTCACCACGTACAATCTACATGTTGATCAAATGTACAGTTGCATAGTACAGACAGACGCAGTAGTAATAGCCAATGAATGAACTGTGTGGTCCTGTTCCAGAGTCTTTGGGTTCGAGGACGAACATCTCTGTCGAGGGAACAGCCGGGAATCTGCATCTCTGGAATGGGAATCTTCTTGTCATGTCGAGTTCGAGACTGCTCTTCATGTCCGCAAGATTTCCAAAGGGATGTTCTGCTGAAAACCTTCACATCACCTGGACACAAACATTCATAATTGTGTAAGTGTCTATAATACAGCATGGGAATCAACTATTCTGACCATATGAAATAGAGTGCTGTAGAAATGATGTATTTTTCAAGGCCAACCGGGAAGTTGGCATCACCCTGCTTTCCTCGACAAAATCCACAACTTTTATGAATTTTGAAGCCTAAAAACAATTGCCAGTAGTTTGCGATTTTGTGTAATATCATGTCACCTGCTGCACCCATGGTATGGCAGCAAAGTTCCTTGATTATTACGCCGGAATGAGAGTATAGTTCCTAGCCATATCGGCCTAGAAAATCACAACTTTTACACGATGTAACTAAAGAAGAGTCAAGTTTTAATTAGGAAAAATATCGAAACTCTTTGGTCATTTTTGAGCGAGATGCTAACGGTCTAATCAGATTCAATGATCTATGCTAAGCTACAGCAAAAAGTGCTACCGCCAGACCCAGAGATCGGCTGAATGGATTCAAAAACGGTAAAACTCAACTGTTTAACTCTAGGGGAATTGGAAAATGAGCCTATTTTCAAAAATAGTGGAGTGTTCCTTTAAAAGCTAAACGTAGGCTGTGATCAAACTACACCATGATCACATGACTTCAACATCACTAAGCTTCCGAAAACACTTTATTTCAAATCTACAAGTTGGAAAGTTTGAGTTATAATAGTTTGCAAGAACGCAAGTATAAACACACCAAGGCTGTAAAAGCAGACGAGTTTATTTCCTTGGTGTGATGTTGTTAAATATCCTCAGACAACCTCTGCAGTCTCATTTGGCCACAACGAGAAAATATCTTGAGTTTGTTAACCATAGACCATATTTCAGGCCTTTAACTAAAGACCTTTCAAAAACCCATTGACTTTAAGATGATTGAAGCAGAAGTTCAAAAAAAGCTAATTGGGTTCTGGGTTTTAGGACTCATTCCTGCAGCACTCTATGGCTTTGCACAGTCACAGTTTGGATTTCACTGGGTTGCAAAACAGTTCATTTTAATTGAAGCATAATTAAATGAATGCCTTGAGTAAGTAACTACTAATTCAGTAAGTGAATAATTTTCATATTCAGATATGTCATGAGTTTTGTGAGTCTTAATGTAATAGCATTTCAGAACTGTTAAAGGAACCAACCTTAATGAAACTTTCCTGAATATACTCTTAAAAATAAAGATTCAATAAAGCATCAATGGTCCATAAAAAGAAAAAGAAACTTTTGGAACCTTAATTTTTAAGAGTGTAAGAACCTTATTCTCACTTCCCTATACTTTTGACTATGCAAAAGCTTCAAACCCAACTTCTTCAAATAAAACCAGTCAATAAATCATCACAGAAACATGACATATGGAGCTGCCAATCGTTCGGCTGTGATGGATCTTCTCATACAAGCTTGTCACTAAGATGTTTACATCCAATGATGGCTCGTAAAAACAAACACCAATTAAAAATGAATTTCTCCTTAATTAACAGAAACACGATTGATAATGTTTCCATCTGAGCTGGTGCAAGCAAATTAATGGAGCAGGGAACAAAAATGGTAAAATGGCATTGCAGATTTTCCTTTTCTCTTTGTGGTCAATGTGAATTACTGTGCTTTTACTGTTACGTGTGGTGAGACTTACCTTCGGCCTTGAGGACATACTTGACGCTACAGAACCCAGAAGGGAAAGACAAAGAGAGACACAATTAGGACAAAATAACAGCTATCCTAACCAAGACAGTCCTGACAAAAACAGCACATGCAGACTCTCCACAATGGCTGAACTTTTAATTTAGAGCGTTCAAGCTCAGACTCATGGGATTACTCTTCTGAACACTGATCGCAGCGCTTTAATGAACTCTACAGGGAGACGACAGCAAACAAGAGTGAGACGGCTCCGAACACTCAAATCACCTGTGCCTTCATTAAAACTCTCCCATCAAACAAAGAACATGGAAATGGCCCCATATCTTCTCCCAGACCGAATCTCATCGCTCACAAGGGCCCAATGCGGTGAAACGACAATGTGCCAACATCAATATTTTACAGAGTTTCTAGCTAGCAATGCAAGCCAAAGTCTGGGCGGAATTAAAATTTAAGTTCAACAATAACAATACAATCTTATCAGTAACTTCTAGGTAACAAAAACTCTCAAGTTGAGCCATTACACAAAATGAAGTCTCTAAAGGCTTTGCTATGCAATTTTCTTCCAAACAACAGTGATTACAAACACAATTCACAATCAAAGCTCTCAGACGGCAGGAATGGGGGAGTGACTGTTCAGACTGACAGTCGTAAGATGAGGGATTCTGGGATGGCGGTAAAAACGGTTTATATAGAGGAAGAGGCAACCAGATTGAAATGGATTTTTGTCTAAAATTTCAGATGGATTTTGAGCGAAAAAGTTGTGTAGCAACAACTAATACAGTGGCTAAAGCCCAGTGCACACTCTACAATACTGCCATCTGAGACACATTTCTGGGGTTGTAAAGGATTTCTATTGTTGTAGGGCAAAATCGTTTGATTGGCGTTAGCAATTATGCGAAAGAAAATGAGAATAGGATAGAGGGTGTGAACCAATTTGAATACTGTCCATCCTAAATACTAGGGCTGGTCTGTAATACAGTGCAATGCTTCACATAATTGGATGTCATCTTCAAGCATGCATGGCTGCTTCTGCGTAACACATTGTTTGTCAACTGTCATCTCGAGATGTCTTACAGGTCGCCTGTCACAATGGCTGGAAGATGAGCGAAATTACCCGTCACTGCACAGAAAATACCAGCATGCAGATTGTGGCAGGTGTTAATTTCATACCAGAGTCTGTTTCGATTTAAACAATTGTTAGTAAAGCAAAAAGAATGTGGGTAATGAAACCATATTAGAGTCAATCTGTCATTAAGGAAATTCTTAGCTATTTTCTGGTTCAAAAAGTCACACTATATTGCACGAAAGCATCAGCAGCGCCTCATAATTTTTCATGTGACTGCATGGATTTATCCAACGAGAAGGCGCTGTCTCATAATTATTCATGACATCATGTCACATTGTCCTGAGACAAGTGCTTCAAACGCTCAGCAGGCACTTCTGTGAGTTGATACCTTACAGAAACACATGCAAGCCTCGCTTGTGATGCTGATGGAGCGACAGTCTTTCAATCAACCAGCAGCTTTGACATGTTTGAGTGCAATGAGCAGTTATCATGTGAGACTTTCTAGATTCACGAAGTGGTGGACTGAGACAGATCTGAGATCTGATAACCCAAACAATATCACAACACTTTCACCGAGTCAAGATCAAGGAATAACAAAAGTTATTAAAAATGCAAATGCACATTCACTTTTTTGATGCAATTGAAAACGGCTTTCATTTATTAGTGCATTAGTGCAATAAAAGGAGCTGTGTGTATTTGTGTAATGCACTGTGAACTCATAATACAGGGCATTTTGTTGAGCGCAATTATGAATAGTAGCATGCATTTCTTTGATGCCATTAAAGCACAATAAAACTGCGCGGATCAGACACAACGGTTGTGTTCTCTCCTCCCCTCCACTCCTACTCTTTTCACTGTGTTGAGAAGTGATGGAGGGTTTCATGACACTTTACCTTAATGTGAGGTAAAAATTATTGCAGATATATGGTAATGCGAAGATGCAAACACAAACAGTGCACCAACAATGGCATGTTAGTATTTTTCAGTTCTAGCTTACTGTGTACCTAAAAGTATGTACTGGTGAAGTACATATTTTTAGTATGTAGTAGAGTATGCACACTTTTTCAGCAGGCTTGGTTCTGGAAGTATTTTTTCATTCAGTTTCTTCATAGGCATTTAAAGAATTAAACAGTCAGTTTTAAGCAATAAACCAAACACTATCTCCAAGATAAATCCAGCCTATGGTAGTGAGCTGGTCTGACAGATGGGTTTTGAGCATTTGTTAGCTTGTCAGACTGGCAGTCAAACTATACCAGTTTAAACAAGACTAGTGAATTACCTTCGGCTGGTAGAAGCTGTTTTTTCCCAAAAAATGCAATGAAGTAAAGCTCAAGCTCAAGTATTGAAAATTACGTAATCAAATCTGGAGCACGCTACCGGTGTTATTGTTAACTTAAACTAAACTAAAACTATTCAAAACATTTTCAAACTGGATTGGAATGAAGATGAAATAAAATATAAATATTACATGAAAAACTGAAATTGACAACTAAATGAAACAAGTTGAAGTACTAAAATTACTAAAACTAAAATAAATGAAATCTAAATAGAAATATTAAGCACATATAATTGCTAAAACTAAAATGAAAATCAAAACTGAAAATATAAATATAAAAGCTAATTCAAAATATTAATAAATACTATAACAGTATATAAATATTATATGGGACCAATATAAAATGATTGACTCTAAATAAGTTTATCATACAGTTTTCCAAAATATACAAATATACAATATTTAATTATGTTATTAGTAATGCTTTAAGGCAATGGCTGCTGTTCAGCAATTCCATGTTTTCAGTCACTTCTGATTGGTGGATCTCTCTTCAGGATTATGGGTAGTGTAGTATCTCACTGGAAATGATGCAATTAAATTTCTCTATGAAGGAAATTGAATGGGATTTTTTTTTCCAGACCCCGACTGTTGCGCACTACTGGGATGCAGCCAAAGACTTCACTGCACCCTGGGAAATAAGGACAGAAGGAGGTCAAAAACCCAGAAGACAGCCGAGTATTAGCTGGCATGCTGAGAGATAGATTGAGAGCGGGAAAATCAGAGCGTTAGACTTACGAGAGCATGCAGGAAAACTGTGGTTAATCTGTTCCACAACCTCAGCCAGATCAGAGTTACTGTTAGCACACTGATGAAGAAACTCATCTGAGGACACACACAGAATACACTCAGCAGATTATTACATAAAGAAGTCAATCAGAGCCCTCACCCAGCGTTGTGTGTGTGTGTATCTATACCTGTGAGCTCGGCCTGTCCTGCTGTATCCTGATGGAGAGAGCCAGAAGAGGACGTGCCATTTAACTCAGGCTGGAAAGAGAGATAGGCATGATTTAAAATCAGCATAACCCAACTGATAGTAATACACTTACAATACAGTAACAAATATTGAAAAATATATTAGTGCTTCCATCATTACTGCTTATAGTCTTCCTGTAGGTGAAAGCAAGGTGGCCAGATATGTCAGGCTGGAATGTCAGTCTTGTTTGCCTTCTTGGATATCGAGTTATATTGTGTTTATTTAGCTAAGAGCCTTTGACAAGGCCATCTGGCTAAACCAAGGCCCAGTGCAGTGAGTCAGGCCCTCGGGAGACCAAATAAATTACTGTTACTCTAAATCAGGGCTCATTGAATGCCTGTGCTTGATTCACTGCGCGCTATTGGCGGCTGTTGGGCTCGCTGACATTGCCCGTTAGACCATGAAACCCATTGAAGGATAGAACAATAGCAGTTCATACAGTGTGGTAGGGCTGGAACTGAAGCTGGCAGGTGAATGTTAGTCTCAGCTTCACACTCCAGGGATGGTTCAGGGACAGGTTGGTGCATGTTCAAAAAAAATGGGAAAGCCTAAGAGAACAGTTCTTGGCCAGAATAAGATGATAGGCTTTAGTTCCAATAATCAAAAGGCTACATAAGATTCAAACTGTACTGCGATAGAGTGCTGCAAGGGTGACATATTTTTGTTGGACAACCTTAAAGTTAGCATCACCCTGGTTCCCATGACAAAAACCCAATAGGATTTTTCAAATGGTTTTTGGATTACTGCGGAAAATAAACTCTGTGACCAAAAAGAGTTCATGATTCTTACACATTTTCATCAAAGTAATCTTCACAAATGAACTTTTTTGTGTTCACTAATTTTGAACCCTAAATACAATTGCACATAAACGCTTTAAAAAAAATCATGCATAGTGTATAATTGATGTATTTTATGTTGTAGAATAATATGTGAAAATACCTTGAGCTTGTGTTCACCACAGACCTTATTTCAGGCATTCAACCAAAAAACCCATTGACTTTAGGACGATGGGACTGGAAGTGCTAAAACACTTATTTCTGGGTTTTAGGGCTCATTCCTTCATCCCTTTATACCTAGTGAACTTGCTGTCTACTGCCTATACAAGTAGTATCATTCAAGGCAGCATCGCAACTGAAAAGGAACCTCAAAAGTGATTGATTTGGAACGCTCTTCGTTGGCTTGTGCCACACAAATATCACTCCTCACATGAAGCACATGGGAAACTTGAGTGAAAACTGATTCCAGTAGAGTTTGACATTAGCATGTTGCTAAGCTAAAGACATCTACGACTCTAAGGGGCTGTTTACACGACACCATTTTCAAGTAATAACTGACAACTTTTTATGCATTTTGGTCATTCATTTATAGGGCTAGGTATCGAGTTCGATATTTTTTAGGCACCGACCGAATTGCCTCGAAACCATCAAGTACCAAAAAAACGTCTTGTCGTTCGGTACCAAATTTCGATACCTAAGGGGTTAATCTCATCAGCGTCAGTGAGCCAATAAGTCTGCAGCACTAGCCGGTGTGTTTTAAAATGAAAACGATCCTCGTCATACTGGCATTTCCACAGTGGAAATGCCAGTCCATCTCCGACAAACGACAAGCGACAGACCGGAAGTTATTCATTTCCAATGGAGAGTAGCGCGGGAGCTGCGTGGAGTTCCGATCATATGCAGAAGTCCGTTCATACTACACGACCGAAAGCGCGTGTTACGTGACCATTCATGCAAACTGTAGCATCATGCTACATAAGACAATAAATAAGATTTATAATCCGCTTTTACTTTTTTTTTTTTTTAGATAAAAGTAATCTTGTTAAAATTGATTTCATAAAATTGGTATCGAAAAAAGTATCGTTCAGGAACCGGTATCGAAGTCAAGGTATCGGTATCGATATCAAACATTTTTGAACGATACCCAGCCCTATTCATTTACACAACAGTTTAGGGGCCTGAAAACACGAACTTTTGAAAATGGGTTTCAAAGTGCAAAGTGCATAATACAGCTTTTTTAGTCATTTTCGCAGATCCGTGTGATGCGAGTAGAGAATGAGTACATTATTATATTTATAATCAATATATCATCTGCCATTTTCTATCTGCCTAAGAATTTGGCCACAACAAATTATTTCAAGGCTGAAATACATAACTTTTAAAATCTGAACAGATTTTAAAACACTAGGCATCATACACGTTGTAAATGGTTACAGAGGAGAAACTTGGCTTTATACACTAAATGACTTAGGAGCACACACTACCAGTCTTTCAAGCCATCCCAAGCACAACAAACTCATGCATAAATGAGCCTCGTTGCGTTTTTCTCCATAAATCTGTCAACCCGACTGCCCAAAATCTGCAGACTGGCTCTGACTTCTGGCAGCTAGTGTCTACTCCTCCAGACTGAAAATCGGGGCAAAAGTCACGTCGTGCATTTCAGGTTTTAGAGTAGGGCTGAACGATTTTGGAAAATAATCTAATTGCGATATTTTTTTTACCAATATTGCGATTTAATATGCAATTATTTTTTAAAGCTCTTTATGTTCTGTATTATTCAACAAAGACAAGCTATAAATCATTGTATAGTATGACCAACACAC